TTTGAGATGTTGGACACGATTTTTGATTTTTGGAATCGCGCTTTCTGATTTTCTGAAAATTGATTTTTGAGTTGTGCACACGATTTTTGATTTTCTGGATTCGGGGTTTCTGTTTTTCTGGAAATTGATTTTTGAGTTGTTGCATACGATTTTTGATTTTTGGAATCGGGAGGTCTGTTTTTCTGAAACGTGATTTTTGGGTGGTTACACACGATTTTTGATTTCTGAGATCAGATTGTCTGTTTTTCTGAAAATTCATTTGGGAGTTGTTGCACACGATTTTTGATTTTTGGAATCGGGGTGTCTGTTTTTCTGAAAATCAGTTTGTCGATGGTTGCACACGATTTTTGATTTTCTGGGATCGGGGTTTCTGTTTTTCTGAAAATCAGTTTTTCGGTTGTTGCACACGATTTTTGATTTTTGGAATCGGGGTGTCTGTTTTTATGAAAATTGATTTCTCGGTTGTTGCACACAATTTTCTGATTTTTGTGATCAGCATGGCTGATTTTCTGAAAACCGGTTTTTCGGTTGTTGCACACGATATTTTGATTTTTGGAATCAGGCTGTCTGTTTTTCTGAAAATTGATTTCTGAGTTGTTGCACACGATTTTTGATTTTTGGGATGGCGATGTCTGTTTTTCTGAAAATCGGTTTCTCGGTTGTTGATCACGATTTCTGGTTTTTTGAGGTCAGGGTGACGGTTTTTCTGAAAATCAATTTCTGAGCTATCGCACACGATATGTGCGTTTTCGAGATCGTGGTGCCTGTTTTCCAGAAAATCGATTTTTCGCCTGTCACGCACGATTTCTGATTTTTTGAGATCGTGCTACCTGTTTTTCCAAAAATCAGCGTCTCTCGATTTTCAGAAAATTGATTTTCGGGTAGGGCGCACGATTTTTTCATTTTGTCAGAAAACAGACATCTGACAGTCAAATTTCCAATTTTTTGATTTGCAGAATTGATCTGTAAACGCGATTTTCCAAAATTCATATTCCGATTCTGAATGCCGCTCTCAGTTTCCCGGAAATTGTGTTTTTGTAGGTCGTGTAGCGTAGCATAGAATAGGAAATCAAAGATATTTCAGGTTTCTGATTTGGAAAGCTCGGCAAATACAATTTTTTGATACACACCTCGTCCCACGATTGGATCAGGCCCTCAGTCCTCCAAAATCATGATTTTTTCATATTTCTGGGATGCATTGCTGTTTCCACACAACATTTTCAACATGCTTCTTATTTTCGAAAATGCAATCTTCGATTTTCATCGCGGCCGACACAATTTTCTGATTTTCCGGTTGCTGTCACTGCAAATCAATTGAAAACCGTGTTCTGGGTCTGGAAACGTCAATTTTCAGTTTTTGCACACCATTTTGAAAGCGCCGTACAAAATAGGCCACAGGATTTTTTTTTCTATGATCTCATTTCTGATTTTCGAGCAAATTGCAGAAATTGCGCTCACAACACAGAAATTTCGACCAGGAAATGAGTTTTTCAGAATTTACACCTGGTTTTTGTACTCGCACCCCAAAAACTGTTCTGTCCGTGATTTTCATGACGAATTTGTGGTTTTTGAATTTTCGCATCTCGTCAAAAATCAGATTCACCTCACCACCACCATTTTCAGATCAGCCCGATCCATAAATCATATCACCATACCCCAAAATTCGAAACTTTTCGGTAATGTTGCTCGAATTCTGAGAATCGGATCCTGACGACCACAATTTTCGAGATCTCAACATTTTTCGATGCACCAAAAAATGCATTTTCACCGATTCTAGTCGTTTTCTCACAAAAATTGATTTTTCAATCCTCAAAAGTGGATTTTCGCACCATTCATTTTTGTCAGTGCTGCGAAAGAATACGGGTTTGGTCAGCCTCTGGAAATAAAATTTTTTATCACGTCAGAAATCGCGATTGTGCGACTTCCGACCTGGAAAAACGAGTTGTTCACTAGTTATGAGCGCGTGAAAACTGTTTTTCGTAAACATCCGGCCCGAAATCATTTTTTCCAAATCGCACAGGTGTGATTTTCGATCACCCCGTTTTTATGGTCACGCGAAAAATCAGTTTGATAAAAGTGTGACCAATTTCCGCACATCACGATTTTTCCCGGATCAGAAATCGGTAATCTGACTCAACAAAGGCAAGATTTCTGATCAGCCGATTTTTTCAAACCAGCGAAAAATCAATTTCGTGCGCTCCTGCTCAATTTTCGCCGAAAATGGTTTTTCCCGCATCGCACATCGCAAAACTGATCACGGGCACCAAAAGTTCATGATCGTGGTTCCGCGAAAAATCAGTTTTTCAGTCTTAGATGGTTCATGTTAACACAAAACAATGTTTTGCACTCCAGAAAAATCAGTTTCTTGTGAATCTGTACGATTCTGGACCAAACCAATTGTTCTCGGATCAGAAATCGCAAATATGATTTTCAGCTGTACAAATCTCGCACCACTCACGGTTTCCCTTTCAGAGAAAAATCAGTTTTGCACAGTTCATGTCAATTCTCCTTCGATCCTATTTTTCTGAAATCAGAAATCGGGGATAACAGTTTTTTAGGTGCCATGAAAAATTGGTTTTCTAAGATTCTGCTCAGTTTCTCACATCTGAATCCTGATTTTTCAGAATATTGATTTTTGTGGTGCCAAAAAACGAAATCCACAACCAGGAAACCGTGTACTTGTTTCAATTTTTCACTCCTCCTCCCCCAAAAAATTTTTGCAGGTTGACACCCAATCCAGAGATCACTCGCTCAGTGTAATTTGCGATTTGAGATCTCTTGACTGTCATTTTGCACTTCCTGTAGCCATGGCCAACGCACTGTCAGGCCGTCATTGTTGCTGCGCTTGTACTGCGCGCACTGTACATTGCGCACTGCTGTAACTGCGTATGCAAAACCCTACTTTCCGTACTGTCAGCATTACAAGTGTACAGGTGTATGCACGCGCGCACCGTAAAACATTTTTTCCTGCACGTGGCGCGGGTGGTGCATGCTTTCCCACGCGTGGTGGGGTTTGGCATGTCACATTCAGCCGGAAAGCGAAAATTTGTGATCGTGGCATTATGCGAAACGGGAATACAAAACGCACGCACTCCTAATTGCACCTTAGTATATTCTTATTTTAAACGGGATTCGTTTTGGATTTTCTTGAATATTAATAAAATAATCGCTATTCTGCTTCATACCAGAATCATTGATTTTGGGGTCATTTTGGCTGATTTCTGAAAATCGAAAATGACTGCACCAGGTACTTTCCTTTTCGGCATTAATTTATTTTTCCTATACTCAAAACATTTCTCTTTTTACGTCGAACCCTTTTTATTAACAAAAAACGGGTCAACAAGCTCAAAAGTTGAACAAGTGTGTCCAAACACGGTTTTTTGACAGTTTTTCTGAGACATGAGTGATGCACCTTTTGAGAGCTGGAGCTCGAGCAGTCTCGTCAAAAATTTTTCCGTTTGCTTTAATCATAGTGGCACTACTTGATCTACTAGAAAACGTTTTTTTGATTTTTCATTCTTTAAAATAATGTCCAGTTATTGCAGTTTAGCTGACCGTGCCAAAAAACGCCATTTTTTGGACCCATATGATTTCTCACTGAAAATAAGAACACCTCCAACTTTTTCCAATGTTTGATTAGTCTTTCAAGTGTATCATACCCATTTGCAATAGGAACAAGAGCGTCCAATACCAAGTCTGCCACAACTTTTTTGTGAGCTGCATTTTTCTAAAAAACAGGAGTTGCAAAAATGCCAGTTTTGAACCTGGAAAGTTGATCCTGTTCGTTCATTGTATTTTTCGGAGCCCTTACAGCTCTTTCCAATTCTGCACATAAGTGTAACTTAAACTTTTGGAGCAAAGGATAACACATTTGTCCCCTCTGAAAAGTTTCAGAGCGCAAAATTTTCAAGTCTGTCAAAAAAATGCATTTTTGACCCCATTGTTCATTTTTATGATTCTAGTCCATTGCGACCATCTCTTACACGACAAATGCTGTCAATCTTTAAGTTACAGCAGTTTACATGGGACTGCGTACGCATTTTGGAGTTTGTAGATCTGGTGAAGAAACCACGAGCACTTTCCAGCGCAAATTTTGGACTTTTTGCAACTCGAAAAAACCAGAGATTGCTGCACTACTTTTGAACCCATCTTGCAATCCGTACAAAACATCCGTCCTTTATACATCCTTTATGGAACTATAAACACATGGCATTAGATTTGATTTACCCGGAACAGTGTTCCTATTTTCTGCATTCTTCGGTATTTTCTGCCCCAAACAGTGAAGAAATGATAATAACTCGAATAAAAACTATTTGCACGTGCTAAAAAGTATACCGGCATGTATTCTAGCTCCAGCTGAAAAGATGTGCACCGTTGGTATATGGTGGTTTTGGTATGTCAGACAAACTCATTTTTGCTCACTACCCTCACAATCTGTTCTAGTGATTCCATAGTACCATCTTGGTCACTGATTTTTCGCCCACCATTTCTGTAGTTCAAAATACTCAAGAGCATCAGAACAATCACACAAAGGCATTGGAGTCTCCATAACTGAAGAACTTTGAAAGATATGACACAATAACCGCTTGGGCCGCGAACCCAAAAATGCATTTTCAAAAATCTAAATTTTAAGGAGGTAACAAGTCAGAATTCTGAAAATCAGTATGCAAAAAAAATACAAAAATTGAAAATCAGTCCTGATTTTCAGATTTCAAAATCGCACTTTTTGGCACAACTTGGCAACAAGAATGAAATTTCGAAAAAACGGTTTTTCACACCGACCAGGCGTGGTTGCAAAAATTGAAAAACGTGGTTTTTACAACTAATTGTCTACGTGAATGAAATTTCAGGAATTGATTTTTCACGCACACCAGGCAGTGTTCCAAAAATTGAAAACCGTGGTTTTTACTACTAATTGCCAACACGAATGAAATTTCAGGAATTGATTTTTCACATCCACCAGGCACTGTTCCAAAAATTGAAAATCGTGGTTTTTACTAGTACTTGCCCACATGAACGAAATTTCAAGAACTGATTTTTCACACCCACCAGGGATGTTTCCAAAAATTGAAAATCGTCGTTTTTACCAGTACTTGCCTACATGAATGGAATTTCAGAAATCGATTTTTCACATCGCTCAGGCAGTGTTCCAAAAATTGAAAATCGTCGTTTCTACCAGTACTTGCCTACATGAATGGAATTTCAGAAATCGATTTTTCACACCCACGAGGGAAGTTTCCAAAAATTGAAAATCGTGGTTTTTACTAGTACTTGCCTACATGAATGAAATCTCCGGAATTGATTTTTCACACCCATCAGGCAGTGTTCCAAAAATCGAAAATCGTGGTTTCTACTAGTACTTGCCTACATGAATGGAATTTCAGGAATTGATTTTTCACACCCTCCAGGGATGTTTCCAAAAATTGAAAATCGTCGTTTTTACTAGTACTTGCCCTCATGAATGGAATTTCAGAAATCGATTTTTCACACCCACCAGTGATGTTTTCAAAAATCGAAAATCGTCGTTTTTACTAGTACTTGCCTACATGAATGAAATTTCAGAAATGGACTTTTCACATCGCTCAGGTAGTGTTCTAAAAATTGAAAATCGTCGTTTCTACTAGTACTTGCCTACATGAATGGAATTTCAGAAATCGATTTTTCACACCCACGAGGGAAGTTTCCAAAAATTGAGAATCGTCGTTTTTACTATTACTTGCCTACATGAATGAAATTTCAGGAATTGATTTTTCACATCGCCCAGGCAGTGTTTCAAAAATTGAAAATCGTCGTTTTTACTAGTACTTGCCGACATGAATGAAATTTCAGAAATCGATTTTTCACATCGCTCAGGCAGTGTTCCAAAAATTGAAAATCGTCGTTTTTACTAGTACTTGCCTACATGAATGGAATTTCAGAAATCGAATTTTCACACCCATCAGGCAGTGTTCCAAAAATTGAAAATCGTGGTTTTTACTAGTACTTGCCTACATGAATGAAATTTCAGAAATCGATTTTTCACATCGCTCAGGCAGTGTTCCAAAAATTGAAAATCGTCGTTTTTACTAGTACTTGCCTACATGAATGGAATTTCAGAAATCGATTTTTCACACCCATCAGGCAGTGTTCCAAAAATTGAAAATCGTGGTTTTTAGTAGTACTTGCCTACATGAATGGAATTTCAGAAATCGAATTTTCACACCCATCAGGCAGTGTTCCAAAAATTGAAAATCGTGGTTTTTACTAGTACTTGCCTACATGAATGAAATTTCAGAAATCGATTTTTCACATCGCTCAGGTAGTGTTCCAAAAATTGAAAATCGTTGTTTTTACTAGTACTTGCCTACATGAATGGAATTTCAGGAATTGATTTTTCACATCGCCCAGGCAGTGTTCTAAAAAATTGAAAATCGTCGTTTTGATTAGTAGTTGCCTACATGAATGAAATTTCATGAATCGATTTTTCACGTTGCTCACGCAGTGTTGCAAAAATCGAAAATCGTGGTTTTTACTAGTACTTGCCTACATGAATGAAATTTCAGAAATCGATTTTTCACACCCACCAGGGATGTTTCCAAAAATTGAAAATCGTCGTTTTTACTAGTACTTGCCTACACGAATCAAAATTACGATAACGGATTTTTTGCGGAAGAACGGTAAGAGCTTCAGCCAATCTGAAAATTTTCCCAGAGAGTGCATGCTCTAACCCATGTTACGAAGGCAAGGAAATGTTTGTGAAAAATTTTTGTTTTGAGATACGCGGGTGTCAAAAAGTGAAACTCGAAAAAGTGGAAAAAAATCGTGTTGGAAGGTCCAGTTTTGATTTTTCGCAGTGCTGGTTTTCAGAATTCTGACATGCGCGTTTGGTGCCAAAAACGATGTTTTTGCAAAAATTGAAAAATCGCGATTTTTACTAGTACTTGCCTACATAAGTGAAATTTCGAAAAAAAAACCTAAGTCGAAGTTAGAAGTCCCAAAGTGCAATTTCGCACATTCGACTTAGTATTGCAAAACTTTTTTGTCGACGAAGGTTTGTTGACATATTGTAAGAGGGGGGGTTGTGAAGCTGAATTGCAAGCGTGGACGAAACGTGCCATCCGCGATTCCAGTTCACACTGACGGTGAAACAGACGTCGCCTTTGCCTCAAATCTGTCAGTGGGCGTGGTTGAAAATCGGAAAATGTTGTATCACCTGCAAGATCCGATGTGGATGAAGAAGCAATTTTTTTGTGAGTACCCTCACCGGGAAAACGCTGTTTTTTTTTTCTGCATTGGTGAGATGTCGGTTGTTGAGCCGTGTCGAAGCTGCATTTTTTGTAGCTGAGACGTGTTGTATCACCTGGCATACACAGATGTGGGAAGAATGAGAATTTTTTTAGTGAGTACCCTCACCGGGAAAGCGGTTTTCATTTTTTCTGCATTAATGTGGTGTGGTTGTTGAGCCATATTCCGAGGATCGCACGAATTAGCGCTGCCGGAGAACAATTTTTAGGCATGAATTGCGGGTGTTGCATGTGGGAAGCTAACGCGAGTACCCTGAGCCCGCAAAAGGGAGGTGTTCGAATTTTTTCGAGTGCCGAAAAATGAGGGTGGTCAATATAAACTGTGAGCCACCTCTCAAAAATTTGAGAGTTGAGAGCGTACTGAAAACTGTTTCAGGCGCAAAAAAAAAGCAGAACTGACTTCGATGCGGTGGCTGGCCTCCAAAATTTTTTGGGGGCGGTGAACGCATGCCATAGGGTGCTGTGCAACAGAACTGTTCAGAAAAAAACTGATTTTTCGTGCGTTGAGGCTGTCGAGATTATTTTCCCGGTCGTCCGCACGATTTTTAGGATTTTTGGAATCTGTTTCTAGTGCCAGTATGCGAAAGCAAATATCCCTAAAGAGAAGATCTTGGATAGCAGTTTGGGAATCTGTGACGCAAAAGTGTTGCAGAACGGTGGGTGTCGCACAAAAAATCGTGTGATGCCAAGAAAAATTTTAACCCCACTTGTAAGAACGAAGCGAATAGTACTGCTCGTTTCAAGAATCCCGACCCAAAAAAAATTCGTTCCTGGGTGCTCGGCACGGTTTTTCTGTGCCTTGAGCCTCTTGAACCATTTTTCCTGGCTTGGTGGTTTGAAGCTGTGTGGAAATTTGATTTTCTGTATTGCAAGTCACAAGACACTGCACGGAATTAATTTTTTGTGTAGACGTCGGTGGTTACCTGGTTGATCCTGCCAGTGGTATATGCTTGTCTATAGGACTAAGCCATGCAAGTGCAAGTATGAGTGTATTATACAACGAAACTGCGAATGGCTCGGTAAAACAGCTATAATTTCTTCGGTGCTAAATACTACTCGGATAACCGTAGTAATTCTAGAGCTAATACGTGCCTCCCAAGCGACGCAAGTCGTGGTACAAATTAGAGATACAAGCCAATTTTTTGGTGATTCTAGATTTTTTTTCTGATCGCACTAGTTGCGACGCACCGTTCAAATTTCTGACCTATCAACTTTGGATGGTAAGGTATTGGCTTACCATGGTTGTGACGGTAACGGACCGTGGGTGCGGGATTCCGGAGAGGGAGCCTGAGAAACGGCTACCACATCCAAGGAAGGCAGCAGGCGCGCAACTTACCCAATCCGGACACCGGGAGGTAGTGACAAGAAATATCAATAGAGGGCCCGATGGGTTTTCTAATTGGAATGAGAACAAGGTAAACAGCTTATCGAGGAGCCAGCAGAGGGCAAGTCTGGTGCCAGCAGCCGCGGTAATTCCAGCTCTGTAAGCGTATACCAAAGTTGTTGCAGTTAAAACGCTCGTAGTCGGATTTTGGCGTGTGACTTGGGTCGTTCTCGCGGGCGCTCCCAGGTTGTGCGCCTTTGTGGAGGGGGGTCTGGTGGTGCTTAATTGGATCGCCAGGCTGCCGCCACCGTTTACTGTGAAAAAATTAGAGTGTTCAAAGCAGGCGATTGCCCTGAATACATTAGCATGGAATAATAGAATAGGACCCGGTCCTATTTTGTTGGTTTGTTTGAATCGGGTAATGATTAAAAGGGACGGTTGGGGGCATTCGTATTCCGACGCTAGAGGTGAAATTCTTGGATTGTCGGAAGACGAACAGCTGCGAAAGCGTCTGCCAAGGACGTTTTCATTGATCAAGAACGAAAGTAAGGGGATCGAAGACGATCAGATACCGTCGTAGTCTTTACTATAAACGATGAGGACTGGAGATCGGATAAGACTGATTTATGGCTTATCCGGCATCCTTCGAGAAATCAAAGTGTTTGCTTTCTGGGGGAGTATGGTCGCAAGGCTGAAACTTAAAGGAATTGACGGAAGGGCATCACCGGGTGTGGAGCCTGCGGCTTAATTTGACTCAACACGGGAAAACTTACCAGGTCAGGACATAGTAAGGATTGACAGATTGAGAGCTCTTTCTTGATTCTATGGTTGGTGGTGCATGGCCGTTCTTAGTTGGTGGAGTGATCTGTCTGGTTAATTCCGTTAACGAGCGAGACCTGGGCGTGCTAGCTAGGCGCCGTTACCTTGGTAGCGAGGCAAAGCCTTCCTAGACGGACTGTGGGCGTCTAGCCCACGGAAGCTCCAGGCAATAACAGGTCTGAGATGCCCTTAGATGTCCTGGGCCGCACGCGTGCTACACTGAACGGGTCAACGAGTGACGGATATGCGAGAGCATTTCCGAATCTCCAAATCCGTTCGTGATGGGATCGACGGTTGCAATTTTCCGTCGTCAACGAGGAATACCTTGTAAGCGCGGGTCATCATCCCGCGCTGAATACGTCCCTGCCCTTTGTACACACCGCCCGTCGCTCCTACCGATTGAGTGGTCCGGTGAGGCCTTGGGAGAGCTAGATGAACTGTTTTACTCAGATCTTTTGGCTTCAACTTGGTCAAACCTTATCACTTAGAGGAAGGAGAAGTCGTAACAAGGTTTCCGTAGGTGAACCTGCGGAAGGATCATTCTTGAAAATTTAGAGTTTGTGGGGGTGGCTTGATTCGATTTTCTTTTTGAGGTGCGCTGCTTGCATTTCTCCAATCGAGTTTTTGTTTTTTGAAGATTCTTGGATCGAAATGAGAGTAGTGTTCTGAAAAACAAGGAGTCTAGAGTCGTCGCCCTTGCAAGTGTTCTATTTTCTTACGCGAATAACTGTACTTTTTTTTTTATTATCAACCCAAACCCATATGAAACGAAAAAACTAAACTTTACAAAACACAACTCGTAACGGTGGATGTCTCGGTTCCTACATCGATGAAGAACGTAGCAAAACTGCGAAACGTAATGCGAATTGCAGATCTCGTGAATCATCAAATCTTTGAACGCAAGTTGCGCTCGCGGGTAACCCTGTGAGCATGTCTGCTTGAGTGTCCGCACAAATCCGATTTTGGCATTCCGCAACTGTTGAGAAATAATTATTTTTCCGGTTGCTAAGAGTGCCGCTGATGGGTGCGTCCGTGTTGATTTTTTTTCTGTTGATTCAGAAAAATTGATGCGGTCACCTGGAAAAGAGATGGGGCGATTCTCAAAAAATCAGGTTTTCTGGTTTTCGTCGCGCGTTTCACGACAGAGTAGCGGGTTTCTGTTTTCTGAGCAGGGAAAAAAGTATTTTTCCGATCACTGCGGATGGATGGTTTCGGCTGTCTGTTTCTGTTGGGGGTCGACGTAGTATTTTTTTTTTCGGCGACGGAAATGAATCGTGAAAAAATCGTGTTGTGCGCGGTGCAATAATCGAAAAACTGGTTTCGTCGTTCTTTGTACGAAAGAATACCGTTGTGGGCTGGTCGAAGATAGTTTTCTGAGCAACGGCTTTTTGGCCGCTGCGCTTGCAGAAGATACTTTTCCGGTCGCTGCGAATTGATGGTTTCGACTTTCTGTTCTGTGGCGGGTGACGTAGTATTTTTTTTGCGAGATGGAAAATGTTCTCCCTGTTCCAAAATTCGGGAAAATCGTGCGTGTGCGATGCAAAAATTGAGAGTTGGCGCCCAGTTTTTTGCAGAGTTTGTGATAGAAACTCTGAAAACAATCATTTACTGGATCTCAAGTCAGACAAGGCGACCCGCTGAATTTAAGCATATAATTAAGCGGAGAAAAGAAACTAACCAGGATTCCCCTAGTAGCGGCGAGCGAAGCGGGAAAAGCCCAATATGAAAAGCCAGCTTGCTGGCGTTGTAGTTTGAGCGGCCTGCAGCTGTCAGTCTGGGAAAGTGGCATGGAAATGTCCACCGTGGAGGGTGAGAGTCCCGTCCATCCCAGTCAGGGCAGTTGGTACGTGGCCGTTTCAGTCGAGTCGGGTAGCTTGGAATGCTGCTCTAATCGGTGGTAAATCTCATCGAAGGCTAAATACTGGTAGGAAACCGATAGCGCACAAGTACCGTGAGGGAAAGGTGAAAAGCACTTTGAAAAGAGGGTGACAAGAACCTGAAACCGTTACGAGGGAAGCGGATTGCATCGAGTTGATGGGTGTTTGCGCTTTCAGCCGGAAAATTTTTTTTTGGTGACTGGCGCAGACACTTACCCGTCGTGAGTTCTTGGCTGCCGAACCAACGGCGTGCCGAGGACTGTGGGATCCCTTTATTGGGTGAGGACGATGGGGCAGCGGTGCGATACGACCCGTCTTGAAACACGGACCAAGGAGTCTAGCGGTGCTGCGAGTCGAAGGGACGTTTAATCCTTGTAGGCGCAGTGAAAGCGAATTACCATAAGAAATTGTGCTAATTTGAGGGGCATGAGGTCGTTGACCAGAAAGTCCCACCTGGAGCAGTAGCGCTAGGACCCGAAAGATGGTGAACTATGCCTGAGTAGGGCGAAGCCAGAAGAAATTCTGGTGGAGGCTCGTAGCGGTGCTGACGTGCAAATCGCTCGTCGAACTTGGGTATAGGGGCGAAAGACTAATCGAACCATCTGGTAGCTGGTTCCCCCCGAAGTTTCTCTCAGGATAGCGGGCTGACATGACGTTGTTTTGTGCGGTAAAGCGAATGATTAGCGCATTTGGGGGCGTGCAGCCTTCTGGCGATTCTCAAACTTTAAATGCGCAAGCTGGCGCCGCTGCTTAATTGAGCGGTTTTAGCTAGAAAAAACGTCAGCCCCGTGGGCCACTTTTGGTAAGCAGAACTGGCGATGCGGGATGAACCGAAAGCGTAGTTAAGGCGTCAAATTGTCCGCTTATAGATCCCACAAAAGGCGTTGGTTCATCGAGACAGCAGGACGGTGGCCATGGAAGTCGGAATCCGCTAAGGAGTGGTGTAACAACTCACCTGCCGAATGAGGTAGCCCTGAAAATGGATGACGCTTTAAGCGGGCAGCCGATACTACGCCGTCGATTTTAGTGAAAAACAAATCGATGAGTAGGGGGGCGTGGTGGTCGTGTCGAAGCATTGCGTGCGAACGCGTGTGGAAACGGCCACTAGTGCAGATCTTGGTGGTAGTAGCAAATATTCAAGTGAGAACCTTGAAGGGCGAAGCGGGGAAGGGTTCCATGCGAACATTGATTGGGCAT